CATCCTCAAACGAATGGATTAACAGAAAGATTCAATGGAACCTTGTGTAGATCTATTGCAAAATGTTTACGAACCAGTCAATCTAATTGGGATCAATTGATACCTTCAGTACTCTTTGCTTATCGTACCTTAAAGCATGAATCTACAAAGTATACTCCCTTCTATTTGGTACATGGAAGAGAAGCACAACTTCCTATTGATGTCGAGTTTAATGATAAGGAAAATCATTCTGTTTTAACTTATGAAGAGGTTTTAGAACGAAGGATCAGTTCTTTAATAAGAACCTTCACTGACGTACTCATAATTTCCTCAAGAAATATAACAAGTGCACAAGAGTTACAAAAGGAAAGGCAAAAATATTTGGCTAAAGCTCATGAGTATCACGAAAATGATATCGTATTATTATATAATTCTGCTAAAAGACAAGTGCATGGACAAAAGTTTAATCCTAAATAGACAGGACTGTTTTGAATAGAAAAGAAGTTAGGTAATAAGGTTTACTTGATAAGGGATAAAATTGGTAATACATTACCTAATCCTGTTTATGCAGAGAGATTAAAACATTATAAACAAAGGCATCTTGTAGAACCTTGTGTGATAATCACCTCAAATTAGTCAAAGTTTAATTAAACACCTGAACACGAATTTTATTATATAAAGGACCTTATTTTTCTCAAGTTCTGAAAATTTTTACAAATCATGGAACTTCAACTTTCAGAAACTCAACGTGCTAGATTATTAGAACTTTACCAAAGTTTACAATTAGATTACACTTCTGTTAATATACAAATGACTTCTACACGAATTATTGTACAAAGTAGTTCTCAACAAACTTCTTTAACAATTCCTACTCACTATCGACGAACACGACCTCAAAACTTTAACAGATATATTGAAGATGCATGCAATGCTGAAGTTGACCTTGACCTTGAATTATATGATAAAGGAGACATTCTATCTCTTGTAAGTGTTGCCATTGATACTGCAAAAACAAATGGACAACGACTCTTTGCGTACTCGAAATTCTGGTCTTTATTATCAAAAGATCTTGTTGAGCGACAATTAACTATGAAACAACTGAGACAAGAAGTTCAACAAATAA